ATTATCCTTGTCATAAACTCCAACCAAAAACTAGTGTCCTATCACGTAAATAATAAGTTCTCTCGCATTCGTGATAATTATTATCTTTGTAATATTTTTATATCACCCTCATTTACATAACCCCGACAAAAGAAATATGGTCCTATCACGCGAATGAGAACTATATCGTCTTTGTGATTATTATTATCCTTGTCATAAACTCCAACCAAAAACTATACTGTCCTATCACGTGAATAATAAGTTCCCTCGCATTCGTGATAATTATTATCTTTGTCATATATTTATATCACCCTCATTTACATAACCCCGACAAAAGAATTATGGTCCTATCGATCGAATGAGAACTTCTATCGTCTTTGTGATTATTATTATCCTTGTCATAAACTCCAACCAAAAACTATACTGTCCTATCACGCGAATTAGAACTTCTATCGTCTTTATGATTAGTATTATCCTTGTCATAAAATCCAACCAAAAACTACAGTCCTATCACGTGAATGAGAACTTCTATCTTCTTTGTGATTATTATTATTCTTGTCATATATTTATATCACCCTCATTTACAAAACCCCGACAAAAGAAATATGGTCCTATCACATGAATGAGAACTTCTATCGTCTTTATGATTAGTATTATCCTTGTCATAAAATCCAACCAAAAACTACTGTCCTATCACGTGAATAATAAGTTCTCTCGCATTTGTGATAATTATTATATTTGTAATATTTTATATCACCCTCATTTACATAACCCCGACAAAAGAAATATGATCCTATCGATCGAATGAGAACTTCTATCGTCTTTGTGATTATTATTATCCTTGTCATAAACTCCAACCAAAAACTATACTGTCCTATCACGCGAATGAGAACTTCTATCGTCTTTATGATTAGTATTATTCTTGTCATAAAATCCAACCAAAAACTACTGTCCTATCACGTGAATAAGAAGTTCTCTCGCATTTGTGATAATTATTATCTTTGTCATATATTTATATCACCCTCATTTACATAACCCCGACAAAAGAAATATGGTCCTATCACGCGAATGAGGACTTCTATCGTCTTTGTGATTATTATTATTCTTGTCATATATTTATATCACCCTCATTTACATAACCCCGTCAAAAGAAATATGGTCCTATCACGCAAATGAGAACTCTTATCGTCTTTGTGATTATTATTATTGTTGTCATAAACTCCAACCAAAAATTACTGTCCTATCACGTGAATGAGAACTTCTCTCGTTATTGTGATTATTATTATCTTTGTCATATATTTATATCATCCTCATAACCCTAAACAAAAATAATATGGTCCTATATCACGCGAATGAGAACTTCTAGAGAGAGAGAGAGAGAAAGTTGGATCGAAAGAAAGATGAAGGGTTGATATCATTGACCTACTATGGTGATAGTAAGTGAGAGAGAGACAGTCATCAGACAGACGGACACAGACCGACAGAGAGAGAGACTAACAAGTGATATGGATATAGAAATATGATACAGAAGGGGATGAACGAGGTGATGCGATGAGAGGGAGAGAGAGAGACAGATATATATATATATATATATATACAATAAACATCAAAAGAGAATTGTATGGGGTAGAGAAATAAAGAGAGAGGGAAAGAAAATGGGAGAAATAAAGATAGCGAGAGAGAGAAGAGAGAGAGAGAGAGAGAGAAAGGAGAGAAGGGATAGAGAGGGATACAAAAGAGAGATACAAAAGAGAGAGGGGGAGATGAGAGTGATATAGAAGCGACAGAGAGAGTGAGAGCAAGGAGTGTAGTAACTCCTTGGTGAGAGAGAGAATTTCAAGGGAGAGTGTTATAACATGGACCGTGGTTATGAGACGGGAGGCGAAGGATATAATTCAATTATACGGAAAGAGAGAGATTAGCCCAAACCATAGCCCAAACACGTGTAGCAATTACTGACCTCTACCAGAGGTCATTTAGCAGGATAAACAAAACGTACTCGTAAACTTACTAAGGGATGATCTAAAAATAAGAATGTGCAGTATACACATGATCGACTGTTCGGGAAAACGTCAAGTCAACCTTATTATTGATTAATCTTCGTTTGTAAGATTAAACGTATCTTCCTTATTTTTAATAAAGAAATGCAAAATACGTTCTCTCTATAAATGATTACCCAAACTGTCCCTGTACAACGACTTTGGGGAGTATTTTGAGATCATCCCTAAAAAAAAAAATGTGCTAGGAAATTCTTCGGGCCAATCCGGCACATAGACTAATACACGTACACACGTAACATGTACTATACGTAGGCCTAATACATGCACAGGGATGCCAGATCATTGCAGTTCGCACGACCACTTGACTGACTTGACCAAAATACAGGCAATGTGTGCGTTCGTTCACAGAGCTGACGAACAACAATATTATCAAAGTCGAGCCATAACAAATGCATTTCAAAGTTGAAAACACAGAAACGATTAAGAGAGGGAAATGGAAAAATGAGTTGAAGAGAACAACACAGAATATTCCGGCCCGCACAGGAAATACATAGACTAACGTACGTAAGTACAATAAGATGGCGGCGGTCCGATCGATTATAAAAATTTATATAGCGATTACAGTGTACAGACAAGTGTTTTTTTTCTTCAAATTTGGGAGACAGTATAAAAATCTTACACTAAGGCAACTCGATTTTAAAATAATTATCTTTATGATTATATATATTGTTTAAGTCTGGTAATATGATTTGGTGTCAAAACATGTTAATTACTACACTTTGATAATAGTGCTATATATGTGTTATGCTGTTCAGATGACATGTAAATTTTCGAACTGAGAGGGAGCTATACCAAATTTACCGGGAGTACCGGTAAATTCTTTTATTTTTTAAAATTTTAATTACTCCAAATCAAAAGCTTTTTAGAGCCCAATTTTTTTAGAGTTGGGTGTTCTAACACTATGTTTCACAATAGTAATGCAAATTTTAAATTTCATGATCCAATCCTGATGAAATATTCCCAAAACTTTGTAATACCTTTAACAGTGTTTGTTATGACTAGAATTGAAATGCAATTTGTTTGATTGTAAATAATTTCATATTATACCAAAATGAATATCTGCATACCTGTACACTTTGGTGTTTTTCATGTACTAGTATTACTTTTCATCCCTAGGATAATAAGTGCTTTGTACTGGCATTTGGAGGAAATAATGAGGGCTGAAGATATTACTTTTTCATATTATCTTAGTATTAGAGTAAGTGAAATTTACTTTTGTACATAAAAAATGAACATAGTGAATAAACCTGTTGATGTAATGTATTGAGAGTTATCACAATATTAGGCATTTCACAGATGGATGATCAATGGATTTATTGATGTATTTGATTATTATGAATATGTCTGCCATCTGTACATTATAAAGCAAAGAGTTCATAGTCCAAACAAGTCAAAGGTTTATATTACATGGACCTGCATAATAGAAGAAAACAAAAATACTTTCAGATAGTAATAATGCATGACACATTTCCTGTCATTTCAACATCTCTTCTATCAATATATGCGTAATACCAGAACAATATATTCAGTGTCAAAGTACACTCATTAACATTCTCATTGTATGATTAATTAATAAATGACCTGCATTGTAGCAGAAAATGTGAATGAAAAGTATGAAACTAGAGCTCTAGAATGTGTGCATACTACTTGATATTCAATGAATCACGTATCGTTACACTTGATTGCGGTTTGAGAGTTTGAAGTGTTGCTGTTGATACAATTATCCCATACTTATGTTTCAAGCTTGTTGATTGCCGTGGTTACAAGACTCTGCTGACAGAAAGGGCATTAATTTACCACCCATTGGAATGCGGATTGGTGTACACAAGTTATTCTAGGTTTATGAGCTTGATTCGGTTACCAGTCTACTACTGTGTGCTAGTCTACATCTTTCAGAGTTTATACTGATTTCATTTTTCTAAGAGTTACAAAAATAATTCATTAATTAACAGAATTTCTCCGACAAATTTAACAAATCTGGTATGCTATGCAACCATCTCTCTTGTCCCCCTCATGCATTGGGTATTTCATTTGTAAGTTAAAGATAAAATCACATATTCATAATCTTGGTTTAGAATTGAAGCCTGCAACGAACGCAAACATATCGTTTAATATTCACTCTCTTCTGAGAAGGCATTGTGCCTTATGAATATAAATCAAGTTAGTATACAGTCATTTTGTTCAGTCTTGTCTACATACTACCACATACGTTAGGCATCATTGATATTCCACGGTCCAGAAGACAATTTGTTTTTGGTCTGTTGAGTTTCATGATGGTGCTGCCAAGTAAGAGTACAGTTTTGTAATGTTTAGTGTAGTGATGTTACATTTTTGTATAATACTTTGTACGTTTGATTGTTTATCCCTGTTCCTGTTTTCAGGAAATTTGGGGTTCTTTTTACTCAAACAGTAGTGACAGATAGAGGCCTACATTGTCTGTCATGAGCCAAAAGAGCTTTAGCCCAAACTTGAGGGATATAACTTCTTGTCTCTCAGCAGACATTTTGATTATAACATTAATATTCTGGGTTTATAATTTTATATAGCACTTAATACATCAAAGATGTCTCCAGGAGTTTTACAGAAAGATTATTCTATCATGAAGATAGATATTGAATTTAGTAAAAGAGGATATTATTTGAACCAGAATCAGATTTGAGAAGACAAAAGTTTGAAGAAAGAGACAATGACAATGAATATGTATTGTTTCAGGGACATTGTGTCGGTAAGAGATGGACTAATAAGATTAGAAAAAAATTTAATGTAATGCTGAAAAGTGCATCATTTGTAAAGAGTCAGTTGTGGTTGGGTGTTATTTTTCACTACCCCTTGAAACTACTTATACCTTGTTTCTTTTTCTTAAAAGTGACACTGTAATGGAAATGGATGAATTTTTGTGTGGAATTTGCTATTGTTTACATTTTTCTGTTTTTTTTTCTTCTCAATCTTTCTGCATCTCAGATTCTCCAATCATCCATGCCAATGACTTGATCACCAGCACTCCGGTCAAAACCAGTGTCACAGTAGATGGCAGACTGTGCAAGAACAACAGTGCCTTGGCCAACTCGGAACCGACCACACCCGAATCCATGAATCTAGATGCCGCCATTGCCATCAACAGCCTACCAGCCACACCCATACCCGTCTCCCCCATCAGCGAGAGCAGGCCCTTCTGGGTGGTGGTAGCCATCGACTTTGGAACCACGTTCAGCGGGTACGCTTACAGCCTCACCTGCGAGCCGGAGAATGTGCACATCATGAGGAAGTGGGAGGGCGGAGATCCGGGCGTGACCAATATGAAGACCCCTACCACTTTGCTCTTGACGCCGGAGGGGGAGTTCCATTCCTTCGGGTTCACTGCCAGGGATTTCTATCATGATATGGATCATAAGGAAGCCATAAGGTGGATGTACTTTGACAAGTTCAAGCTCACCTTACATGGAGACCCAGTAAGAAACCCATTTTTACTGTCATCATTAAAACATTCCTTGTCTGTTTTCAATTTAATATACTCTCTAATTTTAGTTCATTTGTTTTTGTTCTTGTTTGTTTGTTCCATGGGCAAGAATGATGATATATTACACTGTTTGACAAAAGATTTCCATTGTTTCATCTGCAATTTACCTGCACATACACCTCAACATATTAAACAGCAACAAAAAAATGTTTAAAGGTATCAGTGCCTGTATCATGTTTCCATAAATATTGAAATGTTGAGATTCCTTCCAGAGCTCTTTGACCTTAGTTTGGAGAGCTTTCAAGAAACTGAAATGAAACTATTTATGGAATGTCTCTTATGACCAGATAATGGGGGAAGAGCAAGGGCCAGAATATTATATCAGAATTTTATTATCTTGGGAATAGGAGTTATGAACTTTCATTCATCCTTGTCTATTTTCCATTTTACCCCCTCCCTTACCAGTCTATTCCCTCTCATTTTGTTATTTCTAGATAAAATAAAATAAAAATGGAGAAAAAAAGTGTAGTCAAATGAGATATTGCTGGGAACCTGAATAGATATATGCCTCACCTAAGAAGGTTTCTCTACATTTGTTTAATGTCTATTTACCACCACCCCCCCCCCCTCTCTCTCTCTCTTTCTTCATAAATCTTTTTTTTTCTTCTTCACTGTCATTTGACTGTAGGGATCAAGTCCCTCTCCTCTTTGTTGTATTCCATCATTCAGGGGATACAAGATGAGACATTCGGACTAAAACTTTGATCACTAAAAATTTGAAAGTCATTTCCTTGCTGGAAATAGCACACAAATATTCACCATTTTCCAGACTTATACACGTATTTCACATTTATATTTATAGCTTAGAAGTTTTGTGGTCAGAAATAAGGAATCAGTTTTTATTTGCTTCCTAATTATGTTACAGTAGATTTTGAGGCATACATGGAATAATCTTCCATTGAGTACTGTTTAACACAGGCTGTAGTTGAACTGATATCAAACTTTTTTTTGTGTGGAATATATCTTTGTCTACCTACCCGTCTGTTTCCAATAAATCATCTTCGTATAGGAGTAGATGTTGGGAACTGAAAACATGGTTCCCTGGAGCTATTTGTTAACATTACTTTTGAAGTAAAGAAAAACGATTGTATAAAGCAGTTATTATTTTTCTGGATATTTTTGGAATGGTCACAGTAAAACAGATGATAGAATTATTGATAGGTGTGTTTCTACGTTATGCTCCAGCATTTATTGATGCAAATGTTATGATAATTATCTTGAATTTGAGGTACATTCTCACTCCCCCCACCCCCCCCCCCCCCCTCTCTTTTTTTATTTTTATTTTTTAGTTTTGAGTAGGGGTGGTACATGTAGATCATGATATAAATAAGAAATGGTGCACATACAATTTTCAAAAGACATGGGCTTAAAGCTATTTTGTTCCCAAGACAACTGACCCAGTTCCTATTTGGCCAAATGGACCACATCTAGTTCAGTGAAAAAATGGGGGGGGGGGGGGGGAAGCAGTGAAGAAAGAACTAGTGTAGAAGAAGAAAGAATGATGCAGTTATTTAGCTTGTAGTTTTATGTATGTAAGTTCCATATAGAGATAGTCCAATTCACATCTTGTGAATAAAGCGCTGGCTTGGTGCTCATATCCAGTACTTGCGTTATTATGATATGGTTTAGACAATTCCACGTATGTTTGATCCTACATCATTCTATTTTGATACGAACTCCTCCCAGCATGAAAAAAAAAGTGCATCCTGAGCCTACATGGCCATGGAGACGTGGAGAACCTGATCGCTCTCCCCAGAGGACTCCTCGGCCGAGCTAAGCTTTATAGGTCGGACCTCAAACATGGAAAAATAAGCAAAGCATTCAACATGTAATTCTATTCCTTCTCCACTCAATACTGTCCGCATGATTTAAAACCAGTGCAACAGACTACAGCTCCACCAGGTTTTGACAGCATGCATATTTCAAATGGGGTGGAAAATTGTGGAGTAATGGCAATGGGATTTATCTTAGGCTTATAATCTTATGGGGAGATAAGAGATAAGGTCTAGTGTTTATGTCAGAGTGTTTATATTGACCTTGATTATGAATGGAGAGATGCATTAAGCTGGATGGGGAGGAGCCTAATCTTATGGGAATGTAGTAATGTATAGTTGTCTTTTATCATAGATTGATATGGTGAAAATGATCAGGAATTCAGGATTCCTCAAATACTAACCTAAATGTCACTACTATCACTTAATAATGATGATTGTGCACATACTACATGTATATTGTACTACCACCATTATGAACAAGATCATCTCTTTCTCAATATAATGGATACATGTGTTTTCAGAAGTAGAACTGCAGAGGGAGGCAATGCAGTGTTTGGAAGAGCATGAATGAATGAAGGGTTAGCTCCACTTGCAGTAGGGTAGTTTTGTTTATATTATGCCTGAGGGACCAACTCAGTAAGATATATTCAAGCTGTGTTGTGGCAGCACGGTTTACTACATTGCAGTTGACCATCAGTTTACTCCAGCTGATCCATTAGTTGTTTGACTTCAATGTCAACACGCAGTGAATAGTACTAAAAATGCTTCAGAATATAATTTGATATATATGGCCTATGACTTACATAGTTTATGGTTAAGGCATTCATGTAATTGGCAATTTGCTACTCATCTACACATTTATCTTGGTGGAATGTCAGGAATTTATGTTTCATTAGTATTTCAACATAATATGAAACATATTAACAAGCTAGGCTTACATATTTGCTTATAGGAGACCACAAAATAGCAGCAAAATGTAAACATTTTAGTTTCTTGAAAGACTGAAGTGAAAATGAAATATGTGATGTTTAATCAAAGTGTTCATATGACAACCAGGCCCTAATTTATAATGGAGACTGCTGACATTCTAACAATGCACTTTTTCTTTCATTGTTCTATGCCAAACAAATACTTGTCATTGATGATAGTAAATGGTGTATAAAATAAAAAAAGACATTAGATCAGTTGCATACCTGTTATGCATTCTATATTGGCAATAAATATGAAATTGCACATAAACCAGGTGTATATTACACCAAAATTCTCCTTTCTTTCAACTATTATATATTGGGATAAACCTCTACATCATTTTCACAGTGGGCTCATTGTCTTCTCTTGACTTAAGATTTTCTAGAACATTAAGTTCACTATCCGAATCTAAGATTTCAAGCCAGTGCTTTTCTAGCATATAAACTTCTCCAGGTACCCAATGTTGAGTGCAGTAGTTTTCATATTTTCCTGTTATAATACTCCAAGGACGATTTGACACCAGTGAATTTGCAATGACCTCATAAATCTCTACAAATAATACTGCCCTAAAAATTCCTAAAATAGTACCATTTGGATGCTGTGATGATCTCCAGTTTCAACAGGGTTCTCACAATAGACTACGTACTGATTTATATTTTGAGCTATATGCATTCTCATTTCTATCATATTTTGACCCATATTGACTAATGTAAAGGTTTGACAGACATACATAAACACAAATATGATTGTACTAGGTTGAATAAATGTGTGAATTTTGTCCACTCTGTACTATAAAAGTTTGATTTTAGGATGTATATTCCTTCATGCTCGCGCAGTGTGCTCGACTCTTCTGAGGGTTCAGACTGCTTAGTGGATTAGATCAAGATCCAGCCTTCCCTGGTCCCTTTTAATTTTGTAATTTACTTTGTGAGTCTTGTGAAGATGCTAATTAAGAGCCTGCTTCGCACACATGCACTCATTATTGCCTCGTCGCCATTTTGAAATATCATCGCTTTGTTCTGTGGGAATTTTGTTTTTTCCAGCAAATTACTTTAATAAACTGTAAACTTATTTTGTTTGTTTCCTTTGGGAAAATATTCCCTTTTTGGCCCTTTTATATCTTAACCCTTTTATATCTTAACCCTCTTATATCTTAACCAAGGATCTAAGACAAACATATTCTCCCACTTCTTGTATATTCCTGAACACTATATCTGCTCTAGTGTGTGTCTGACCAGGGAAAGGTGACTAGGTATCAGTTTGAGAAAGCTAGATCTTTTTACCTGCCTGCACTGAAGACCAACATTACCAATATGACAGATTCAGAAATAATACCTTGTTCTGCATAAGCAGATTTCAAGTTCTGGTAATAAATAACCTAACCCCTGAGGAAAAGTAGCATTTAATACTGGAAATGTAGACCTATTCACTTCAGCTGAACCTGAGTGTAAATCAAACCTTGGAATTCTATCAGGGTAAAACAATGCAAAGCTCTTTATGCCATGCCTGCACCCCCTTTTTGATTCGTACCTCAAGGATTATAACAGAAAAGAGAGAGAAAAGTATGGTTTTGAATTTCACACTAAAAGATTTGCCATAACTGACCTTGCTCGGCCGAGCACCTGGGTCAGATTTAATCCTGACAGCAATGCTTTAAGGAGGGAACAAGATTTGAAAGTCAAGAAATCCTATAAAGAATGGGGAAATCCAGGCCATGTCATGAAATCCACTGAAATGAAATTGCCGGGATCAAGATTTCAATAAAGTGCTGGAGCATTTGTTAATATCTTCAATAGATTCAAAGGCCTGCCATACATGTCAAACCTCTAAAAATTTGTGACATATTAATATTTTCCAAAGTACATTCACAAATGAATCTGGTCAGATGGATTAACTATTGGAATACAATATAGTAAATCGGTTCTTCATTTTCATTTCAGTGATCCAACTCTGTCAGAAAGTTGCCTCAGTTCAGGCTTCTTAAGATGAGCTTCTTAACCAATTTGATCTCTTACCATTCCATGTACTCTTTATATCTTAAAATCTTAACATAGACTATATTATAGACAGTTTTATTTCAACGCCATGTACATTTATATCACCCCTCATGTCATGACGCAGAACCTGAATTTTAAGGAAAAAAATAGTTTTTCTCTCAATAGGAAATGAAACATGTTTACATTTTATGAGAACATTTATCTCTCATATTCATAGCCTAAATTTCCAGATAGATCTGGGCAAGTTACCAGCCACCAGTCATCAAAATCACTTGATCCTTAAAAATTGTGTGCAATTATTACCATGAATATCCATAATAAAAAAAGGTTGTTTGTGGATGGTATTTTTTTCTTTCTTTTTCCTTGATGGGGGGTCTGGCTCGTTAACAAAAATATGTAATATATATGAATGAAGTCTAATCTGTACAAATCATTCTCTTTATCATCATTCTCTCACAGAATTTGAATTTGAAGACAGAGATCAAGGCAGCCAATGGTAAGGGTTTCCCAGCTGCTACTGTCTTCGAGCACTCTTTGCGTTTCTTCCATGACCATGCTGTAGAAGAACTATGTGATCAGTCTATGGATGGTGAGGTGGACCCTAGAGATATCAGATGGGTGCTGACGGTACCTGCTATCTGGAAACAACCAGCCAAGCAGTTCATGAGACAAGCTGCTTACAAGGTAAGTCGTACCTCAGTTCGCCGCTAAACCATCTCAACAGTGACTGTAATGATCAATTTTTGGCCATTTGAGGTAAAGTAATCCTTTGCTTGGTCTGTCGTCAGTGTGGTATCAGGCTTACGGGGTATGATGTTCAAGAAATAATGATATTACAATTTAGTAATTATTATAAGGAGCTGAATGTAAGTTTTGACATCATGGATGCCAAAAATTCCTGTTAGGGAGGAATTATTTCTCTTATTTTCTTTTAAACCCTAGGCTCCTCTCAATTTCTAAAAGAATTTAATGTACACTGCATGCCTAATTTTGTTGTGAGAGAATCCTAACTATGCGTACAAGAACAAGAACCCTAGATGATTAAAAGTATAAAAGGAGGAGAGACATTACATATTCAAAGCTTTCCAATTTTTACCTGCTACTTGAAATGATTAATAGGCCGGCCTAGCATCACCATCCAGACCTGATCGGCTGCTGATAGCACTGGAGCCAGAGGCTGCGTCAATTTACATCAGGAAACTTCGCCTGAGAGAGCTAGCACCGGAACACCAGTCACAGAGACAGAAGTGGCTCAGGAGTAGTACAGGCAAAATCACCAAGTCCAACTCACAGGTCTCAGAGAGCATCAGACATGGTATGGTGATGATGATGATGGTGATGATGATGATGGTGGTGATGCTGATGGTGGTGATGATGATGGTGATGATGATGATGATAATGGTGATGATGATGATGGTGGTGGTGGTGATGGTGATGGTGGTGGTGATGATGGTGATGATGATAATGGTGATGATGATGATGGTGATGATGATGATGGTGGTGATGCTGATGGTGCTGATGGTGGTGGTGATGATGATAATGGTGATGATGATGATGGTGGTGGCGGTGATGCTGATGGTGGTGGTGATGATAATGATGATGATCATGATGATCCTGATGATCATGATCATGATGATGATGGTGGTGGTGATGATGATGATGACAGTGATGATGAGGAAAGCAATGATGGCGATGGTGACGATGATGATGATTATGGTGACAATGATGGTGATGATGACAATGATGGTGAGAATGGTGGTAATGGTGTTTCATGGTATCTGATGATGGTGATTATGCGGATAAGGATTATTTTGATGGTGATGGTGGTCATGATGATGATGATGACAAGGAAAGATAAAAGAAGCTACCTATAGTTATAATGTAAACACAATTTATAACCAGTCACCACCCCCATGACTATACTAGATCATGGTTTATTTGACACAAATTGTAATACCATTACTATCCCTAAATCTGATAGGAACAAGTTAGACTTTCTCCTATCAGATATAAGGATAAAGTGTCTTGTACTTGGACTTTTTTCCTTTAATAAAGTTATAATGTAACATGTAGGCATTATAGGCATGTCCTTTACTTATCAAACACATGTTATCATTAGGTAAACGAAAATCTGTTGATTCGATGAAACAGTGTTTAGGACATTGTCTAGATTTGTCAGAGTTTTGGTACAATTCCACATCACTTTGAATTTCATTGAGCCTTCTTATTTCTGAGCTCAGTTTGGTGAAATCTGGGTTCAACCGTGATGAAAGTGCATTTCCCAAATGATGCAAAACATGGAACGTGGAAATATGATAATTGTAAGATTAAGTCATCACCAAGGCCACATCATTCTTTAATATTTGAGTCTCATACTCTCAGGAGAGTATCAGCAATGACAGTGATGACAAGGAAAAAAAGAGGGATTGAAGGAAGTTTTATTAAAGCTTTTGTAAATCGTGTTGCACCACAGGTAATGGTATGCACGTGTATTGAAAGCTTATCAACCAAAATATCATATTCTCAAACCATCTGTGATAGATCGTCTCAAAATGCTCCTATACTTGGTATTAGCATGCAGTTTTGATTCTCCCAACATTGTTAGTATTGTAGATGAACACAAGGATCAAAGCTGAACACTGTGATATATCATGACTCATATATCTCAGAAATGAATCAGTAATACTAAAAAGGTGGAAGGGGTATGGTTTATGAAAATTATGGTACGTGATGGTACCTAATGTGTTGATGGGGAAAGAAAAGGAAATAGAAAAAAGTGAGAGGAAGTGAGACATACTCCTTCGAGATAAAAACTGAAGAGTTGAAACCAATGCACCACTGTCTTTCATTTTGTTTACGTGACACGAAATACTCACTCTAAGATAAATGCCTTTCCATAATGAAAAAAAGATGACACTGCCAGATATATTATTATTTTCATACCACTTGGATTAAGTCTAAATGTGGAGTAACTTTTATCCTGTCAGTTTTTTATATCGCTAACTATTCAAACTTTAAAAGTGCAATCGTATTTGATTATAATTTGCTAGCTCTATTACCAGTCCATTTTTCCATGTGGTTCACTGTACTCTGACTCATTGCATACTGTATATCATTGATATTTTGTAATACCTTTTGTTTGTTCACATCATCAGTACAAACAAGCAGAGTTTGCCAAGCATGAAAACAGTAAACATGTTTTGTGTTTTTCCATCCCTAGACATCACAACTCGATATGAACATGGTATCTTATCGGAGAAGTCCTTTGAAAGGTCACCCCTTGAAATTCTTCTCATAGTTGATGTAAATTATGATTCGTAAATTTGATATTGTGGATGGTGGTGGCAAAATTAACAAAAAGTTTTTTAATCTGTGGTGCAGTGGATTTTGCTATTCTTTCTTTCATTTCACTTGTTTGATAACTTCTATTCTGCACTACTCAAATTTCAATTGCTGAGTAAACTTTTGAATATTTTTATTTACAGTTGTTTGGATTATGAGAAACAAAGTCAAGATCTAAATGTAATACATTATTGCTGGTATTAAAGGGGCACTGAAAATGCTACATAGTGCATTCAGCAGTTCTGTCTTTTTCCATCTTTCCATCCATAACTGAAAAGTGAAATACTATCCTCTCTATTCTTGATCGATTTCTTATATCAAAATAATGTCGCAATTGGTGGCGGGTGCTATAAAGGGTTCAGGTTGTATTTAACTTCACACACTTCTTTCGCAGTATCACTTCTCCATGTTAAACACAATCATACATTTAACACCATTTTCTCTATCTTCTTCATATTACGTTTGGGTGCAGTTTGTGAAAAGTGCATGTACTGATGGATTAAGAAATTTGCACAAAACATTTCTTTGCTGAAAATTTTACTTTTGTCTTGGAATATGCTGACAGTTTCAACATTTGTAATTGTAATATGATAATAGGGAGGAAATCAATTTTAAAATGGTTTGAAAAAAAAATATTGGACATTTTTTAGCAAAATGGTTATCAGGTCATTGTACCAGTATATTGAAAGACAAGATAACTGTTTCTGTATTTATGCTTAAATGGAATGCTCAAAGACAAAAAAAAATGGTAGCTCCATACATACAGATTATTTTTTCAGAGAAAATGGAATGATATGTAACATTGCACATGATATGTTAATGGTACCTTGAGATGGCTCACCTGTATTTTGTCACTTTGTAGATTATTTCCTCTGGCTGCATTTTAGACAAAGTAAAACATGTTGCAATAAGGATTAATGTAATAAGTGCTCAAAACTCAAAGATTTCTGAAATTGGATTTTGCAGTTCATGTATTCAGTTCAGTATAGTGTAAGATATTAGAAAAAATAAAGCTTTTTAATTGCGATTTTTGAAGAAAATTTAAAATATTGACCTATTGGTTTCAATCCCTTCCATGATCTGACAGGTACTCGTTACATGGTTGTAGACTGTGGAGGAGGGACTGTGGACATCACTGTCCATGAGGTAGAGGAAGGACAAGGTACCCTCAAGGAGCTTCACAAGGCTGCAGGAGGGAGGTATGGCTCAGTCAGTATCGACCAAGAGTTTGAACAACTCCTTGTGGACATCTTCAGTCAAGACTTCATTGAGGAATTCAAGGTTTGTCAAGTTCAGTTTTAGAGGAGGTCCAAGGTTTATTTTGTCACGTTTGTTCCCAACTTCATTGATGATTTGATTGTACCTGGTGCTTGTATTAAGTTGATGGCTGCACTATAGCTATATAGATCAGACCAACTGTAAGAGAAATATTTATAGCAGGGGTCGACATATAACAGGTGCCTGAGAAACATAGGCATGATGGGCTTCCAAAGTCTAGGTCTGGACCCCAAAACTCTCAAAATGTTAACATAGGACTGATGCATACAGACTCTAGAAATTGCAATCTGGACCCCCTAAGAAATAGCATGGAGCCCTGTTTATAGTTTTAATTATGTTCAATGTGGGAAACAAAATGAACGGGTACCTTGGAATTGTCCTTTCTTCGATTTATATGATCTTACATGTACTTCAAGTTCTAACAATTTTGTTATATGCCAATAAATAAAGAACCAACTTTTACAAAAGTTTTATTTTCTCCCAGGACATGAGTGTGAAGTGAAAACGAGACACTTAAAAGATTCTTGTTCTTTTCCAATTTTTTGAGGGTCCATCTAACCACAGCATAGTCCAGCCAGCATGATAGAAAATCTATTTGTTACAGTGGACAATAAGTTTTAAGCTTTGCTCAAAGCATGGATTCTATACATTTTAGACCACAGATGTTTTGCATAGATTTACAGCAAGGTTATGGAGTGGAGAAGTTCCGAATGAACCTTGGTCTAAGACTCCAAAACTTAATAATACACCATTACAGAGGGCTCTACCTGTTCATAAGTTTAGGTTATTTTGGTACTCATGATTGAAGATGTTAATCTACATTGGCCACACTCAGCCAAGGTGAGGTAAATGGGTACCTAGCAGGAATTAATTCCTTGAAATGCTAGAGAGCTGTATTGGCAGCTAGGTTAAAGTCGGGGTAATAATTAAATAGTGTGCCTGGGAATAGAATTATCTAGATAGACGGCGCTATACAAATGCCTATTGTTATTATTATTTAAGGCATCTACTAATAAGCTGGCATCATACTGTTCTTTCAGGTCAAGAGACCAGCAGGCTGGGTGGACCTTATGATTGCTTTCGAGGCTCGCAAGCGCAACGCGAGCCCCTGGAAGAACAACCCCCTCAACGTGTCGCTGCCTTTCTCCTTCATCGACTACTACAAGAAATACACCAACGGCAAACAGATGGAAGACACTGTCAGGAAGTATAACTACAAAGATGTCACATGGTCGGCACAAGGTAGGTTTAATTTAATACTCTTCTTGCAAGCACAAATAGTCTTTTGAGAGCGAGAAGGGCATTAATTCAAATACTTCTACACAGAATTGACTTCTAGCTGTCAAAATATTGAATATTATCTTAACTGGTTATTTAGATGGACCTCTTCTACACAAAAACTACAACAGGATGAAAACCCGGAAATGTGTTTATTCTCTTTTAGGAAGACATGGGATCTCCAAAGTTATAAGGTGTCTGCCAGACAGGATCAAGGCGATGTTCTGAATTATTAAGAAAATTGTTGGGGGATAACAAATAATTTGACTAGCATTAATTACTTATATTTTATGGTCAACTTCTTGAGCAAGTGACCCCAACAAATATTTGATGGTTCTTTGAACATTAAGTGCATTTGAAAAGATGATCATTTAGCAGCCTATTTCAAAATCATTTGAGAGCTTCACTAGATGGAGCAAATATTTAGTGGTCCATCAATATGTCTACAGGTTGAATAAAATACAGGGTATTCTTAGAATATGCATATTGAAATTTGATTCAAAATTCTTTGCCTCATTTGTGTTTTGAAGGCTCTTTATAACTTCTTAAGTCAATAGCTAATTCTTTGGTCAAGTATTATCTTGATAAATTAATATCATAATTTGCAATCATCATTACACCACCTAGCCTTTGCAGATAATTAAGATTGTTTCCCTGTTAAATTTGTATATATTTTGCTTTAAGCATGGGATTTTCTTTGCTGTTCTTTGATATGCTGTTAAGCATGGTATCTATTAAATACTGTATTGAATAAATTTTACGATTGCGTGCTATGATTTGTTTTACTCTTGACTTGTACACAAACATATCATTTTTACTTCTATTTGCATAAATCATATAATTGTATATTACAAACACTTCATATATTCCATGACATCATACATATACCATAGAGTTGATATACATGCAGTCACCCACATTTCAAGATGGGCAGAAATATAAAATACTTTATCTTCAATGTATTTTACACTTTTATTGTTTTTGCACAATGAAAACCGACAGTTTCACAAGAAATGCTCATTTCCCCCCATGACATAATTTGCCATACACTGTAGATATACATGCTCAATCACCCATCTTTCATGAATACACTGAAAGTAAAAAATCACTTATTTGTATAAGAATATTTGTCCATCCCTACCACATTTCATTTTCATTTCCAAAGGGTAAAAAAAAAGCTACCGGTATGGTCATGAAGTTGAGGTGTATTTCCTACAACTTTTCACCAAAGACAAGAAATGAAATATCTTGGTACTCGATTTATGTTTCACAAATTTTCCATTACATCTCATATTCAAAGCTTTTTCATATCATATACATGTTTCTTGAAGAGAAATTAATATTCTAGCTTGTTTCTCAAATGAGACATTCTTTTGTGGTAAAAAGAAAGTCAGATCAAATCAGTATTCAACATAAGAAGAAAAAAAAAACATGCAGAAAGATGACATCTAAGGTACATTTTAGATGTGAAACCTTTACAAGAGAATAGGCACTCATTCGTACATACCTCAAAATATTATACATATTTGTACATGTACATCTGCCTGCCATTTATCTGAGCGCATGCTGCATCGATCATATGCCAACATATTTTACATTTCCAGCTTCCGCACTGACCCATTAACCATGCTTTCATCCTAACATGCCACCCTCCTCTTCTCTCTTGTCTCATTGTCTTCCGCTCTTGGAGTTCCAGGTATGCTGCGGTTCACACCAGAAGGCATGCAGCGGCTCTTCGCTTCCACCATGGAGCGGCTCATCAGCGGTGTAGATGAGGTCCTCAGCTCCCCAAGCCTGACTGGTATCTCCTACCTGTTTGTCGTGGGTGGGTTTGCCCAGTCGGCCCTCCTGCAGAGTGCCATCCGCAAGAAGTTCAGTAGCCAGCTGAGGATCATCATCCCGCGTGACCTAGGACTGTCCATCCTGAAGGGGGCGGTCTTGTTCGGCATGGATCCGTCAGCAGTTCGAGTGCGGCGCTCAAGGCTCACCTACGGCGTCGGCGTCCTCAACAAATTCCAACCCGGCAAGCATCCCGATGAGAAGAAGGTGTCCAAGGACAACATGGACTGGTGTAAGGACATCTTTGATACGTTCGTCCAAGCCGATGAGTCCGTGGCTGTTGGTGACAAGGTGACCCGAAGCTACACACCGGCTAAACCATCACAACAGGCGATCATCATCAACATCTACTGCAGCGACAGGGAAAACGTGAGGTTTATCACGGATGAAGGCGTCTGCAAGTGCGGCACCCTCAGCATCGATGTGAGTGATTCACAGTATAGTGGCATGAAGGGCAGAAGAGAGCTTCAACTCACCATGCAGTATGGTGATACAGAAATCAAAGTCAGCGCTCTGGATGTCCCAACAGGGAAGTGCGTCAAGTCCAACATTGACTTCTTGAATAAGTAAAGGAGATTAAGAAATAAGTGAACTTAATAGCTATATATATTTGTATATAAATATATATTTTCTTTTGTTCATGGTGCTTCTTTAATGTTTGAATTCTATTAAGGAATAATAATGTTAAGGGCTCTCTTGGAACATACGATTCCAGTTTGTTTGGATACAGAAAGTATCCATTACAAATACTACGTTTGTATTTTCTTGGTAATAGATTGATTGGAGATGATACAAAATTGAACAAACAATGAATTTACTCAATATCATAATTATATGAAATCCATGCTGTTCTATTCCATATAGTATTATATTTAATGCCTTAGATCAAATTGGTGTCGAATCTTAGTGTCTTATTTCTATGAAAATGAATTAATGAATTTCTCTTCCAGTTTTTATCATCGATTGGAATTCAGTATTGAATTTGGATCGTCATACCTAGCTCACTCATAGGTCTTGCCATATTTAAATGTAGTGTTCCTTTTATATTCTACCAAAGTACCTATTCTGAAAGTGTCTTCTGACAAATCTTCCACCGAAACAAAATAATCTCTGTGGTATTCCAAAGCTCATCTATGCATTCCTTTGTCTTGCCACTAAATATTTTATACCAACTCATTTGTATTAGAAACTCTCCTCAAGTTTGCCCAAAATATTCTCCTAAAATGTCAATTCATATCATATACCATTGTATGTTGTATTTATTATTTATGTATACACTTTGTACCTCAGGCACTCTTGTTATGTTTATGTTTTGAAATAAATGTAAAAATTACATATTCTTATTATACACAGTGGTATTGTACATGTACATGTATATCAAATCTGTTGAAGATTTGATGTCTACTTTAATATTCAAATTTCACATTGGCAGTGTTTGACAAGAGATTTTGCTAGTTTTGTTTGTATCTAGACAACATAATTTGTAAATAGCTTTTCAAGCATTTGTTTTCATTTTTAACTTCCATGCTAAATTACTACGTCTTTATAAGAGTTCACACCCAAATGATAATGTTAGTTTTTTTTTAAAGTATAAAAACTCAATAAAATGTGAAGCCCGCTGCATCTTTAATCAATCAGCTGTAAATATCACAGTAAGTGCCTACCCTTTGTCAAGATTTGTATTTTGTAATAAATGTGTACATATTTTATATACTATTGTTAAACAGTATTTATAGGATAAATGAAATACATTTAGTTGAAATTGATTGTAGCTATAGTATTAACTTGCCATATTAAAATTGTCAGAAACATTTACACTATTGATTATGTGTACCGTATACAACTTTTTTGTCTGTTACCAAAATGATGATAAAATAGTATGATGGGTGTTTTTAATTCTGGTGTCAATTGATTTTTAGAATTTATCAATTTGTAGGACTTACACAAGAAAGGGACCTTTCTATTTAAAGTACATAATCATAATTTGTTTACCCTATGCTATTGATGAACATGTTAAAAGTTTTGAAAAGTTGAAAATGTTTAGGCCATTTGCCATTCGGGAAAGGCATTCTACGCAGAAATATTTCTTCTTTAGGGAGGATATCAGACAACATCTTCATAATAATTGAAGGAACCTTTTCCTCTTGGAATTGCTACTTTCATTACTTAAAATATGTGCCCCAGCTCTTCCTATAAGATTTGTAATCATTCTGGAGAAAGTTGTTTGGATATTTCATTGAGAAGTAAAAAAAAAATCCAGTGAAATTGTGTTGTACATTTGTAATTTTGTGTATTCGACCGAGGACACTTTCCTGTATATGTCTTCCCTATATTCAAATAGTTCATGCCTTCCTAATGTATCTTTATATCTGTATCTGTAATTCAATTCGGTCATTAATACCACAGTGGTTATTTACTGGTACGTGTATTCCATGTGTAATTTGTATCTGTATTTTACATAATGTACAAGTCTGCCATTGTGCAATTTATATTTGTTGTATAAAAGTCATTTATCTATTTGTTATTACTCTTTCCATTTATAGCACATGTGGGCGAGATGTCATTTTCGTACGAGTTTTAAAGGGAGGGGCTACTGCATCATCCTTTAGTTTTAAACAATCCCATGTTCAGTGTAATTGGGGGGAATGTCATATACTATTGCAGGTAGCTTGGTTTATTTGAGGGGGCGAGAACGGAAGTTGCTATTTATCTCTTTAAATCTAAGTTGATATATCAACTTGTGAATGTATATTATTCAGTCAATTTAATGGTATTTGTCTTTTTTTAACTTTAATTTGTTTGTTTAATGCAGTCAAAAATATGAAAGTAACTTTATAACTCACAAGTAAATGTAAAGTAAATTTGATTTTCTGTGTGAGACTCGTTGACGACTGAGGCTTTAGACAATGTACTTATGGTTCGTATTCCTATATATGAATCATTTGGATTTATTGGTTAGATTTTTTTCTTCTTCAAACATCCTTTGATAATGAATGTAGAATATATGATGGCTTTGCTTCATCACTCAGATATCATTAATAAACTTGTAATATTTATGTAAATACTTCAGTTTACGTAATTTGTATCCATTGATGTATAGAAGTTCATATTACATATCTGTTCAAGTATAGTATACTTGGAAATAGCATGGAAGATAATCTCATAATTTACAAGTTAATCTGTAGTCCTTTTTCAGTTCTTAAACATTGCATAATTACTTCTCATCCTTTATATGAATTAGCTTATATATTGTATTCAAAAACTTTGTATCCCTTTGTATGTTATTATTGAACTTATCTTATTATTTAGAAATCTATGTACCTCATGTTATTGTTGTATTAAAAATCCAATAAACTGTATTACTGATTCATTTATGTACAGATTTGCATTTGCATTGTTTCTTACTTCTGTGTGGTGATGTTCACAAAGCATAAATGAAAATGAACACTCTTTCCCCTCCTCCTTCTCCCTCTTCCTCCTCCTCCTCCTTCTCCCTGTTCTTCTCTCTCTCTCTCTTCCTCTTTATCTTCCTCGTCTTATTCCTTTTCTTCTTTTTCTTCCTGATGAATGTAGATGAACAGGAATAAATAATTTGTTTAAATCATTACAAACTTACATAATTATTTATCCTGCTCATATTATTCAATCAGTAAACTTCCATAAATAAGGCTACAATAAAAAAAAATTAAAAGGTATTACATTTTCAGAATAATGCAGACTTTGCCAATCACATTTGTCATTTATATATATAAAGATCTACTTTATTGGTTTATTCGGTTTCTGATTATAAAATTACGCAACTGTATGAAATTTCATATAAATCAGTAATAAACAATTTTTGTCATCAAATAATACATTCTATACACAAACATGTATAATTATTTTACAATAATTAATCTACATCAGCGCTTCTCGACCTTTTTTAACTTCGGTCCACTTCAGCTATTACAAAAATTCGAGGCCCATCTTGCGAAAAATTTGAAACAAAATTACAATACAACACAATACAATGTGACACAAGAAAATAAAGAACAGATTATGTGGTTATGGTGGTGGTTATGGTGGTAATTATATGTGTTGTGCCATTCTTGGTTGTAATGCTAGTACTACACTTTTCTCACAGACAAATCTTTGAGAAATTTTTTGAACAGGTAACCATATACTAGTATAGCTGTATTCTAGCTTTGTCATGTAAGACACATTTTGGGGGTATTTTATTCCTTTTTCAAAATGTGTTTTTGGCTGACCGGGCTGTGCAGCTCACCGGTTGAAAACGCTGATCTACATAGATTAGACATCATGCACATCAAGATGATTGCTATGCTCTAGCACAAGTTAAATATACCCCTTGAGATGAAGAGCTTAGGACTCTCCTTTTCTTTTCTTCATTGTACACATTTACATGTTTCCCATCATTTTTCACAAACTACATATAATTACATATTCAACTTCAATCCAACCATCTTCAATTGTGCACAATCATGGGTTAGGTTTAGGTCACAAATATTCTAAACCTTATTTTCAAAATGACAAATGATACTCAAAAAAAAAAAGAGAGAGCAAAGTTTGAGAACTAAATCAGCCATTACAAATACACATATACTAACTTTTACAAGTGAATCTCTTTGTTATTTAGAATCTCAAGAACAAGCTGGTATAATATTTATGTCAATAATTGCACAATTTGTTGACAATTGTAAATTAGCTGATCTTTTTCAACGATTCCTCTCATGAGAATCCTTGGCAGTATAGATTTCCTTTTCTATATAAAAGAAAAACCTTTATTCCTAATATACTGTATAATATAAATTCATCTATGAATAAATAATATCAAAATATATTCATATAATGCTTTAATGTAATCTAATCTGGATTTCTGAGAAAATGGTAACAGGAGCTAAGAGGTATCATGGTGGGGGAGGATGGGCCCCCACTTCCATCTCCTGTTGGCAAATTTCCAGTTTTTAGAACCATGACAGCAATTTATTTATTTATTCTGTTGCTTGTCATGGAAAAATAGATCTGTGATAACCAGGCTTTATTCATTTCATTTACAAATGTGGTCTATCACCTCCCCCACCACCATGTAGAAGTGGTCTAGCAATGCCCTTTCGTAGAATAACATTGTGTTGGCAATAATTCTATGTACCGGTATGTGGTTTTCACTAGATTCTCATGACATTGTTTAGAATTAACTTCCCAAACAACAAAATTATGTATGATAAGTTTGCTACATACTAGTGCAGACCAACCCCTACAATTCCTGAGGTCCTTCTCAAAAATACAATGGTCTGTATTCTAATAATCCAGAAAAACCTTGTAATGGGTCTAAAATCATGTTTAAAAAAAGGAAAACTGACTATTTCCTTTATCAAACACGATTTTGAACAATAGCATTAACCCAGGAAGATCATGCATTTTAATTTTTGTAGAATAGAGGCGAAAATAATCGCCATCGAAACTAGGGATACCAAGGTACCTGTAATAACATCATCAAGTACCTCATGTTTCTATGACTTGATACAATAATACTAAGCTTCACACTAGTGAAGAAAAAATATGATAACAAATATCCCAAAATAATTTATGACTTGAAATGAAGAAGAAGATGAAGGTGAACATTACAATATAATTAATGATGTCATTATTGATGATATGAAGGTAATTAGTTAGAAATATGAGGATGAAAATGAAGGTAGAAGAGTCAAAACAATTACAATAATCATATTTTTTTTTTAAATTTTGCCTAAGTATGTTATTGGATTCAGACACTACTGCTCCTCCAGCTTATTATGAAATAAAGGAAATTTGAATACTTACATTAATTCTAATTACAAAATATCAATTTGTGCATTATTTTATATGACAAATGGCAGATTTTGTGCCAATAAGCCTCAATTACAAGTTTGATGAAAGTGAGTCATAGTACTATGCACATGGGTTATTCAAACATGGAATGTTTGAAAATTAGAAAGCGGACTTTCTCCACAATTACGACTAACATAAGATGTAATGCATCATATTCTGATTCGATTTAGAGAATACTTTGTTTTAAGTAGTTTACTCAAAAACAACACAACATACTGTGCATTGACTTGAAAAATAATTGAAGTACAAGGCAAAATATTGGATCAGTTCTAATTCAGAAGTACAGATTTTCCAAAGAATAAGAAATGTCATACATCCATTCCTGCAATACTGTTCATGTTGGCTTATCACAATTTAAAAAATGATCTTGAACAAAATTTCGAATATGAGCCACTTTAAATAGCAAATATGTATTTTTTTTTAAATCCTCTTATTTATTTCATCAGTTTGAATGGAGTTATGATAAATACAGGTAGAGCCATATGGAAGAGCAGTATATTCGTTATTGAAATGGCTACCCTGTAGGAGAAAAAAAAAGGATGGGGAAAATAAATATATAAAAACAATAATTATAGATAATACATGATAAATAACTTGCAATCAATCAGTATTATGACTAGATGATACTGAAAGAAATTGCCTTAACCTTTTTTGGTTTCAAAATACTGTGCCTGTATCAAAGTTTACCCGCCTTGCCTCCAAAATTTCAGAGAGAAAAGGGTGATCATGTGGATAAGAAAATGGCTAGAAAAGTGTGAATGAAAAAGAATCAAAAAGAGGTACTGTTTTGTATGTTTATATGCGGTTCTACATATAAAGGAGAAATATCAAGATGACAGAAAGAAAAACATTGAAAGAAAGCATAGAGGAAAGAGAGAGAGAGAGGGAAAGAGAGAGAGAGAGAGGGGGAAAGAGAGAGAGGGAAAGAGAGAGAGGGGGAAAGAGAGAGAGGGGGAAAGAGAGAGAGAGGGAAAGAGAGAGAGACAGGGGGGAGCAATATGACAGCAATGGTGTAGATAGGCGTACATTGTAGAATTGACAAAGAAACATACAGATATTAATTGTGAAAACAAGGCTAGAGAGAGATATTATGAATGTACATGACAAGAAGCAGAGGCACACATAGTGATTCAACACAATAACTGCTTTTCATCAGTCCTCGTAATCCGGTATATCTTCAAAGGAGTAGCCTTTGTAGCCCTTGTACGCGTAGCAAGCCAGACGCACATGGTAGGCACCGGGTATGAAGAGGAGTATACCCAGGATCATGATGGGCCACAGACGATCGTTGAACTTGCTGGAGATGTGACCGGAAAGCACGAGGGCTCCCACGCACAGGAGGGCGGTGCCAAGGAGGAAGAGAACGGTTGCTACGGCGATGGATCTCCATGGGATCTTAACAGGGCTCTTCTTGAACTGTGCAAAGGAGAGAATTATAGATATGAAAGTGAAACTTGTTTCAAGATTTTAAAATGTCTACATTGCATTACCATTTGATTTTTGTTTCATCTTTATAAGATTCAACATGCAGCATTTTTATCAATTTCTAGCATGAATTATTCAATTCCAATGCAAACTGTGGCCAGTAAAAGGGACAAGGGCTTGCAACATTATGGAAAATAAATATTGTTTTTAAATCAGATGCAGTAAGGGGAAGAAACCTGTATTATACTTGAAGGTACTATGTCCCATTTGCAGGCCAAAAAATGAAAAGGTTAAATTCCAATGGCATCTGAAAGATAATACTAATTTAGAACTCCCTTTAAAAAAGAGGGGCTTGAAAATGTCTTTAAGTTGGAAAATAACGACTATTAGTTGTCAAATCGACTTGGGAGCTATAGAGCCAATAAGTAATAGTCTTGATTCTCAGACCATTGTACCGCATGGTCGTACGTTTTATCGGTTTAATTTTGGCCATTACAAGAAGTGGGTTATTGATGTAGACAAATCCTTTATGTATGTTATTACCAAAGAAGAAAAAAGCCAGTCAGGCACTCAATAGTGTCTGACAGTGAAGTCTAGCAAGTAACCGGGTTTCCTTGCATAATTTGAATATTAGGACACTGCTAACGTTTAAATTTCACAGATAGGACATGACATATTCATAATTCCTGCAAAGTTCTACAGAATTTGAGGTTGGCTGCAAAAGGGACATAGTATCTTTAAGGCACTGATGTCAAATATTCTGGAGTATTTCAGTTATGTTACAACTTTACTACAGCTTTCAAATCTATAATTTTCTTTTTAACTCATGTAACAATGGGTGATGTTAGACCTCAAACTGTGGGTCTCCTGTACCTGCAAAGCAGTATAGCCATCCCCAGTAGGAGTTTTCATCTTTTTGTACTTGATATCCGTTGACTCCGCTCCGTTTGCCATCCTGTGATATGTGGGCATTTCCTATCCTCTGTGCAGGGTCTGTATCGTGCTTGATCAGGAATTTCACTGGTGGATCTGTAAAAATATTTCAAAGAGAAGCAAAATTGATGAGCAAATAAATGCAACACTGCCTGGACGCAATATCTAGGGGGGGGGGAACGTTACCATCAATAAGATCACTGGCAGGAAAATTCTTTGTAAAGGATGATTTGACAGACATTAATAGACAATTTAGGCATATCAAAGAAATAAATAAATGACAATAATGTAAATGATACAGTATTTTGACACAGTTCATTCATTATCAGTATTCAAGGAGAATGAAACCCAACAGACATACAGGGTGTATATAATCTTATCCAAAAATTTCATCCAGTTTAAAAAAATCTTGAAATTACTTGTATTTGATTATTTAGCAAGGAAAACAATATCTCCAAAGCATGTGGTTTCCTTGCACGTAATTCTTCCATGGGAGTTGCCATCTTGATTAAAATAGTGATGTCAGAGTAGTGCAACTTCTGAGAAGCTAACTGACCTGTATTTTGGCTACATTGTAGGACACTCACCTGTGAAATGCAGCTATAACAGTGGTTTTGCGAAAATAGACCATTTCGGTAATGCATTCAGATGAATGTATATTCTTTTATCACATACACATGACCAGGTATTTGATTCAGATGTTTTAAACGGTTGAGCACTTGTTTCAGACCACTGTTATGACTACTGTACTGGTACCTATGTTAAGCAACATTTGATATGCATAAGTTGTTGCTTGGTCAGACAAAGCTCTGCCATTATTCAAAAGAGTGACAAAGACATAGGTCTACCTAGACCTGTTCACAGAAATGACCTGTTCGAGATGCAGGGGTATACCGTGATAAGATTGCTGCCAATTTGCATTGGTGGCTCTGGTTACACACTAGCCAGTCATTATGCAACACCATATCAATCCTATGCAGGTCAATGGTGGATATGTACATCACTATTTTAATTACGATGGTGACTCCCACAGGAGAATGGCTATAAAGAAAACTGAAAACTTTGGAGAGATTGATTGCTAAATAATGAAATATAAGGAATTGCAAGATTTTGTTTTACTGGCTAACAAATTTGAACAAGATTATCAGCTGTTTTGGGGGTTTCAAATTTTATTTTTCTTTCAACTACACCCGGCCCCCCCCCCTCCCCACTCCGTGAACGGAGGGATACCATGCGTGTTACCAAAATGTCCGGTAAAGTGGTAATTTTCACGCACCAAAGTCCGGCTCGTAGTACACAAAAATCTGGCCCGTATTGACTTTACACACCGGACTTAGGGGGTGTTTTCAAAAGGAGGGAACATGCATATGCGTACCCTAAATAACACTGAGTGGGGCGGGCGGGCAACTACAATAGTAGTACAAGTAGATCAGACATCAAGCGTATCATCATGCTTTACATGCTTAATACGATAAGTGTTGCACTACATTTTTCAAACAAATATCCATCATCACCATGCATGATCACCATCATAAATTATATACTGACATAATCTTGACAGACTAGAAATAGAATATAATTTCTTTTCACAGTAATGCCTCATATTAAATGGCAATGCAAGTGTGACATTTAGTCTAGAGATTTATGCTGAATCATTCATTTGCGTCATCACTTGATCACTGGACGTCCTACTCAGTCACAATTACAACTCATACACTAGTATTACTAGTCCATCACGATCATCTACATGTAGACTAAACCTTTTAATCTCGGTTTGTGCTCTGCACCATCATTAAAAGACACTCACTTCGATTAACTTTCACTGCTGCCTGCAGTTAGCTGCATGCACTGCGGAACCGGAAGCTGGATACGGGAGACGTACTGCACTGGTGTAGTTAGTGGTGGTGATGTACAGCCTCTGGTACTAGCTTCTGGAGTACTGCACTGGTGACTGATCTTTGTGGTCTCGGTTTATGTATTACATGGCATCACTGACTGAACACGTTATGACGACAAAGGATAATACTAATATTCAGAATAGATTCTACAAAGTTTCGATGTTTAAGTCTGCATATAAACGACAAGTAGGCCTACTACACAGAATCATTCAGACAGAACAACTAATCAATAGATCATGCGAATGCGTGTCGACAATTGGTACACAACGCGTATACGTACGTACGTACGAGTTGCAATTTTCTGTTCGTTTTGTTTATTTTCTCGCTATGACCCATTAGTCTTCTTACAGCCTCTAAATATAAAGCCATTTATTAAAAAGTTATTATACATCTACTATGGTCTATGGCCTCACAGAATATTCAAAGTAATTTAATATCCTATATCTCTTATTAAAAAGTTAATCGTAATATGTAGAAAACCATCGATTTAGCGTAATAACAAATTTATCATTTCAAAATTATTTGTGATGGCTTCCTGACAAAACTATCCCAAGAGGGGATGTCCCTGATTGCAACCAAGGAACCCAGCCAACAATCAAAAAGATGTTAATGCTCATTTCATCACATGCGGGAAGGACTTTGAATCATATACCTCGTGCCATTTCCGGGGCGTTTAGAGCATTATTGAATCCTGCAGTTTCACAGAGAAATAACTTCAAAATGGCTACAGAGAGTGATCAAAGATGGAACTCGGATGTGGCCGCTCTTCGTGAAGAAATCTCGAAGGCGAAACATATCGTATTCATGACTGGAGCTGGAGCCAGTGCCGAGAGCGGAGTCCCAACTTTCCGAGGAGCGGGAGGTTTCTGGCGAAAATGGCAAGCGCAAGTACGTATTTAATACCGTACGCTCTGTAACTTGAGCTTGAGGTTGCTATATACCATATAGCTAACAGAACTGTGATGCTAAATACATTTTTTTTTCTAGAAAAACTAGCAATTCAACTACGGTATAAGTTGGTCTAGCAGAAATATATGTTGTACAGTCAGCTCTCTGTCTTTGTCTCCCTGACTCAGGCAGACCTCGGTTCGAGACTGAATCACGTCTTTCGGATGGTGACGTTGAAGGTCGGTCCCCTGACATAAATATTTATAGTTGATTGATACACTTCTTGAAGAAAAGAAAGAAAGTACACACACTATCAAATACTGACACAACATTTTCTTATTGATAGTGATATGTTGACATATTTTGATTTATTACAGCAACTGGCTACTCCAGAGGCATTTGAGTCAAACCCTTCACTGGTTTGGGAGTTCTACCATTACAGACGGGAAGTGATGATAACTAAACATCCAAACAAGGGTCACATTGTGAGTAAGACTGTTGCTAGAGGTACCTAACATGCTCAGAATCAAAGACTTTATTTTGATAGCAGTCAGTGGTTATATATGAATGATGATGATGATGATGATGATAATGATAATAATAGTGTAAACTTATAGAGCGCACATCCAGGGATGCTCATGGCGCTAGCTCAGCAACACTTCTCTTTAATACATGTACAAGTAAAGTAAATGTTCATTTGATAATAGAGTTACTCTATCAGAAACTCAAAAACTATTTTGCAACATTGTTGATGATGATGAATTGTTGATGGTATAGATGCTGTTCATGATGACGATAATGCTCACTTTGATGAGGATGAGGCTCGTTGTTATGGTGAGGATGAATTGATGATGATGCTGCTGCTCATGATGATGATCATGATGAATTGTTGATGGTATATAGATGCTGCTCAGGATGAGGATGATGCTCATTTTTATGAGAATGGTGCTCGTTGTTCTGATGATCGAGGATGACAATGCCTGTGATGATAATCAGGAGGATGATGAGGAGACAGAGGTGTTGGATAATAATTATGATCATAATGGTAGTGGTGATGATGATCATAATTTTAAACTACATACTTAATCATTGATCACAATTCTAAAAAAGGAGTACCGGTATATTTAATTAATTGTAATTGAATATCCCTGGAACCAGTGAATGTTTAATAATTTAATAATTGATAATTAATAATAATTCCTTGTACTTTTCTTCCAGGCTATTGCCGATTTTGAGAAGCGACTCAGTAACCAGGAACGCAGAGTTTCAGTCATCACCCAAAATATAGATGAGCTTCATCGGCAAGCAGGTTCAGCTAATGTCATTGAGATGCATGGTGAGGACTTTTTTTCTTTCTCTCTACTTTCTTTCCTTCTATTTTGCAATACATGTTTCCTTGCTCAAAATTAGTTGTCCAAAAACCTCTGCATATAACTTGAATAACAGAACTAAAATTGATTACAATGCATGAATGATATGGATGATCACCCAAATAACTGGAGGGGGGGGGGGCTTGTGACCCCCTCCCCCACACAATTTTTTTTAATTTTTAAGTGCATGAATTAGAAACGATAATTGATAAATTCATGCTTTTATGATGCTTGATAATACAATATAAGATCTGTAATACGAATGTCAACCTCTATATAAAGCAATGCATTTTCCCCCTACTCCAGTTGTTCCCTAGCAAATTGATTGATAGATAACCTTTCATTTTCATTTGTCCCCCCCCCCCTACCGAAAAAAATCCAGGTTCATCAATGACAATGAACTTGAGGTGAATTCTTTGCTATGGTACTATTCAATTTTTCACATTGTTTAGGAATTGCACATTTCAATCAAATAAAGAATTCTGAGTATAATTTGGCAACAGTTGATGATTTTCCTCCAAAGTGTGACATTGCAACATTGTTTGACTTTGTTTCAGGTTCCCTCTTTAAAACTCGTTGTCTGAAATGTCACCATGTTAAAGAGGATAGGAACAGTCCTATTGTGCCTGCATTGGCTGATAGAGGGTAAGTTTATCCATATGTGATATGTTCAGAGAGCATCAGATAAATTACTAAGAAATCTACAAACTTTGTGTAAGAACTTCATTGTTTATCATTGTCTTCAGGGACTCAGTACATCATTCAAGTGATATCAGGACCGTACTGGTATATACAAAACAAGTGAGAATTTTATATCATAAATATGGCCTATGATTTGGTGTATTTTATCGTTCCATTTAAGTTCATGCCATTATTATAAAGGCGAGGCAAGTCACTGATATTTGCAACTTAGCATATCTTTCTGAATCATTTTTTTTCTGTTCATATTTTTTTTACAGAGAGCCTGATGCTGATGCAGATTCATCTCGAATACCTGAAGAACAGTTACCAAGGTAACTAGCTTTCATTTAAGATAGAATCGTTGATACAGTTTAACCTGCTCTAGAGACCACCTGTATAGAAAGACCACAGTTTGTGTTTCTCTTGAATATGGTTCTCATTGAAACTTTACTAAAGGAACATATACATAAAGACTACCTGCATATAAAGACCACTTTCCATGTTTCTCCTGAGCAGTCTTTATATATAGGTATTTCACTGTATTAGGTAATCAACTGCTATTCTCACAGTAAGATATCTTTGTGAATCATTGTGTTGGTTGTTATTCAGTTATTTCATGACATGAAACATTCATGAATCTCAACCGTTCACAATATTTGTAAATATTTCATGCTTGCAAAACTTTCTGGCTTTACTGTCAGAACTCTGTAAATATGACAAGCGGGGAAACTTGTGCAGTAGTCAGAAAGGTGCATTATTGTTATGGATTGGGATTGAACACTGTAAAGTAGGTATAATAAGTAGGTAATATCTTTTTTGTTGTGGTTGTTTCTTTGTTTATATAGATGCTCTCAGCCAGACTGTGATTCTATGGTGCGCCCTCATGTGGTCTGGTTTGGTGAATCACTAGATGGGGTCAACTTGACAGCAATCGATGAGGAACTGGATACTTGTGACATGTTCTTGGTGGTATGTGAACGATTTTGTTAAAGTTAAATGTTACTTATGGTTGTAGCTAAACATTGCTTACGGTAGGGTTCACCGAGTTATTGTATAATAATGGTGATCATGATGATGGTGATGGTGGTGATGGTGATGGGGGTGATGATTGTGATGATGGGGATAATGATGATGATGATGATGATGATGATGATGAGGATGATGATGATGATGATGATGATGATGATGGTGGTGGTGATGATGATGATAATGGGGATGATAATGGTTATGATGATGATGATTATGATGATGATGAGGATGATGATGATGATGATGATGATGATGATGGTGGTGGTGATGATAATGATAATGGGGATGATAATGGTTATGATGATGATGATTATGATGATGATGATGATGATGATGATGGAGATGATGATGATGATGATGGTGATGAGGATGATGATGATGATGATGATGATGACGATGATGGAGATGATGATGATGATGATGGTGATGAGGATGAGGATGATGATGATGATGATGATGATGATGAGGATGAGGATGATGATGATGATGATGATGATGATGATGGTTATGATGAGTATGGTGATGCTGGAGATGGAGATGATGATGATGATGACGATGATGGAGATGATGATGATAATGGGGATGCTAGTGATGATTGTGATGATGATGATGATGATGATTATGGAGATGGAGATGATGATAATGGGGAAGATAGTGATGATAGTGATGATGGTGATGATGATGTTGGTGGTAGTGATGATGATAATGGTGTTGGTGATGATCCATTTAGCCATCCTTCTTCCTCGTATAATTATCTTTGATACTTCCTTTAGCCCCATGCAACTCCGTTCAGGTACGATGCGGTACACTTCCTAAAAAATAAAATAATTAGTGTAAATGACTGCAACAGGCAAATTTGGGAGGATAGGTAAACTTAGATGCAACAATGTCATCTACACATACTCACTGACTTGTGCACTGTAAGGTGAAACGCATTAGGCTATTAATATTTCTTTTTAATTTTGCCACAGACTTTTATTTTATAAGCAGTTTTGTCGCTCGTGTTTGAAAAATTAAGGGGCTCTGGTTATTATTTGCCTTTCAGGTGGGCACATCCTCAGTAGTCTACCCAGCTGCTATGTATGCACCTATGATGGCTGAGAGAAACATCACGGTTGCTGAATTCAATCCCGAGGAGACTCCCGCCACCGACATCTCCACGTAGGTCAAAGGTCATTGGGGTTAGGGCCATGAGAGTACTAGTTCTAAAGTTGAATAGGATCATGGGGTCGGCATTGGAATATTTGAAACAAAGGATTTATTTTTGTATATAACTACATGATCATAGGCCTATGCAGGAGACTATACTAAAGGGCTATAAACGCCTTCCCAGGCAGGTTCTTAGTCCTACTGAAGTTGTCAAGGGCCAGCATAGGATTATGTAAGTGGTCGTGTACCATGTTTTTACACGTTAGTGTCTCACTAGCACATTGTCGTGTATACAAAGTTGTTGGCAAATACATGTATGCTGTATTTGTAGGGCATTTAGTATCTCGCTATACAAAAATAGGAAACCAAGACCTTGATGAAAGTTACTTTCAATTATTAAAAGGAGGAAATAGAAACAAATCATGCAGTGAAAGTAAATTATTGCATGATTTATGGTAATCTAAATAAAGCAGCTTAGATCCTGATTAATGGATTATAGCTTCCGATAAATACTTCTTAAGGGCATGGAGTTGCAATGATGCAATCCAACTTCATCATCTGTGTCTGGGCTATAATCCTGCCTAGAATCAGTGCTATGGACAATTTTTCAAACTGTTACCATTGATATTTTGTTGTTCTAGGTACCATTTCCACGGACCATCAGGTAACTTCCTCCCAGAAATCCTTGCCAGACATCCAAGTGAGCCAGCAGAATGACGGAGCCAAGCAAGAGACTGGTACCAACTCTTATACACTACGCACAAAACATGTTTTGCTGATGTTGAAAGGGTTCCATGTGGATATAGGTCTACTGTATTAAAAATATGAGCTTCAAATATTACATCTATAAAGAGATAATGCAATTTAAATGCATTCTCCGTGAGTAGACTTCTTGTTGAGTGTACTAGTTAATGATTGCGTAAAAACCTGCAGAGAATAGTCGCACTTGGGTTCCGTGTGAGCCCTATACGCAGGGTTTAATGTTATCATTTATTTTCTTCATATTCCTCAACCATTTAGCTATATACCTATAGAATGCCGGGTAGAGACTTTTTTGGTTGATTTTATACATTCTAACTGTACATGTAGGCCTAGTATATTTTAGGTGATTGGTACACTAGGAAAATCCAACCTTGATAGCAAACTACTCTAGATGAAAGCAGAAAAATCTGAGAGGCAGAATGGAGAAAGTTTGAATGTAATTGGACAAAAAATTAGAAAGTATGGATTTTTAAATGTTGTATCACTATACAGTATAGATATGGGCTCTTCAAATTGGCTGAATCAATAATCTCTCTGATGTAGTGGTGGACAACTTTCTCATTTGATAGACTTGTTTTAAGTCTAAGGACATACACCACAAAAGTGCACTTGATACTGGTAGATTCAGGAAATACAAAATTATGGGAATTATTGATTAATTGAACTCTTTCTTTGTAATACATGGACTATTTCTTGGAGATGACTTACATTTTGTTTTTAAGAAAAACAAATCTGAGCAGTCTGTTTTCTCCATTACAACATTTTTCTTGCCCGTCGATGTAGTGCACAACATGATATGGCGAATGGGGCCACAATTATCCACAACAACCATCTTTAATTTTTAGCGGCAGATTTTTATTCAGTTTCAAGGGAGGGGGATACAAAATGTTTCAAGAATTTATGACAAGTAACCAAAAAAAAATATTTAAAAAAAAGTAAAAATTAATAAATAAATGACAATATAATACATTTTTTTCTTCAAAATAGATAATAATGAATAAATAGAATAAAATATGAATAAAAAGTTATCAAATTTTACCAGAAGGCATGTGCTCTCCCCCCCCCCCCCCCCCCCCCATTTGCTTGTGAAGTTTTTTTCTTTCTTTGACATGAAGGGAACATAAGTTTCTAATTCTATCAAATATTGATCAGCTTTATATTCCGATCTCTACTAAAAATGCAACAATCTAGCGAGACAAGTTATGTTTTCAAATCTTAATGCGACATCTTCAAATACAGTACAATGTAACTCACCTAAGGTATAGTGAAGTGTTCTTATTCCAATATTAACTCCAATTGAGGTTCATAAAAATGAATGCTGATAATTCGTTTTTTTAACTGCAGCTTTACAGCACTTTGTATCCAATTATTATAGAAAAATACAATATCTCTGAATAAATAAACAGGTAGTGGTATTTTTATATGGGCATTTTTGTATAAATATTTTACAACTCAGTTCAATGTAATGCATTTATTGATCGTTTCAATTTGAAATAAACTGAATATATTTTAGTTAATTTGTGAATAACTGATACATGTACCGGTATGCACATGAAGATGTCAACTTATCATAGATAATAAGAGCATTGTTAGCATATTTCTGTATAATAAAGATTTTATGTACATGTATTAATAATTATCATGTATTGTCTTCCTAGTTGTATTTTCCTAATCAACAGCAACTCAGTTTATGTCAGTGATAAGATTTTTAACCTAAAAATGACCCCCCCCTTCCAAAAGTATAGTTCATGAAAGCCTTCTTTTACAAATCAATCATATATTCAGAGTTATAATTGTTGGAACCCCCCTCTCTTTCTCTCTCTCTCTCTCTCTCTCTCTCTCTCTCTCACACACACACACACACACACACACACGCTCTCTCTCTCTCACTCCCTCTCTCTTTTCTCTCACACCCTCTTCCCTCTTTTCTCTCTCTCCACTCACTCTCTCTCGCCCTCTCCCCTCTTTTCTCTCTCTCCACTCCCTCTCTCTCCCCCACTCTCCCCTTCCTCTCCCTCTCCTCCTCTATCAAATACATGACAACACTTTCCAATAAAGTAATAAATCGACACAAATATTTACAAAACAATCCTTTTTATTTCAAAATCTGAAAAGAATGCAATATGTATTCTGCATTATTGATTATCAAATCATTATAATTCTACTCGTATTTGCTTAATAAATGCAATCTGGTTATATGATTGTCTACAAAACATCAAATTCCCTGTTTCAGAAATTCACACACAAACTACTTGAAAGTGACCTAACTATGAACAAGGTGAACAACAAATATTATTTACAATCTAGTAAAAACATTAAAACAAAACAAATTGAAGGTAACGTGCAAAAAGATCAACAAATTTGTACAAATCTTTAAAAAACATTCAAATAACTCATTAATCTTTATGCAATTTCCATAATTCCAGTCTAAACAAATATGGTAAAAATGAATTTGCACTTTTCAGATTGCATAGATGAAATGTTACATGTATACGCTGAACAATCCTCTTAAAGCTCTGAGATTATTATACAGACACGATACAGAACGTGTATTTACATTCCTATCCTCTGTGAATTAGTAAAATGCAATAAATTTTCACTAGAGAGAGAGAATGTACAGCCTGCAATTCAAATACAATAATCTTCAGACAATTCTGTTCTTATATTACCTGGCAATATAATCACCATATATGTTAACTTTCAATTCAAATACATATAGCACGATGCTGACATCCCATTCAAATGCATGTTAATTTTGATACACACATTTTAAATTATTGTGATATTGGCTAAGTTGTACATACAACAGTTCCATGAAATGATGCCCAAGTCAATGTTCAGAACACAAGAACACTGATATCTGCCATACCTGGTGGCCACCAAAACAATACCAAATATGATTTAAAGCCATACTGATCTATAAGCACTACTGCAAAAATCCCTTCTAGTGCCATCTCAGGTCAGCTGTAGCAGTATGCCCCTGTAACTTGCTGCTTCCCTAGCTGCGATGTTGGTGCTCACATCGAGTCCTCTACTGTCTGTGAAGTGGGAATTAGGTATTGGGTTACAGCAGTGTTGGCAACTTGACCATGAGATGGCGCTGTGCAATAAAACGGTACACTAGGGCAGAAAGTTCATACGTTTAGTATCGCTTTAATGGAGTACATCATCAGTCAAGTGTGTAAGTGAAGAAGAGCATACATTTTTACTGAAGCTCCCACTTAACTACAGGCACAAAGAGTTACATTATTTTGCTAATCCAGATAGGAATATAAATTTAAATATGACACAATAATCTACTTCAACATACAATGTACCTAATGTGCCTTGAGCATTTGATTGTCAAGCGGATTTGGCGCCTTACAAATCTTATGTATTATTATTAAAAATACAGGAATATTGCGTTTTGTATTCCCTATTTTGTGTCAAGAAGTGGTTGGTGTGCAAACCTCGGCAGGTATATCTAGGCAACCCTATACCTCCCATACCCCTTCAAAGTTTAATATCAAGTCATAAATGCATTTCTTGCATATATAGCTTTTTCAAGTACAAATTGTACAAAAAAATCTGACACTGCATATCCAGTTATCCACTTCTGACTATTGAGGGCAAAAAATACAAATAAATAAGTTCAAGATCTATAAATAATGAGATTCCACCATATGCAGAGGTGTTAAGACTAAAGTACAATCTGTTTCATCGTCTTGTTTGAAATATGCTATTGAATTGAATGTAACATTTCAGTGACAGATTAGGAATATACATGTAATATCCGTACCAGTACAGCATACTGTATTTCATCACTGAGCATCAAGTGAACACTTGGTTAGAATACAAAAGATTTCATTTAAGTCAGAACTCATATCTTCTCCATATTTGTTTGTTAATTTGCTAAAGGTAATATAATTCAGATCTACAGGATCTATTTGGAATGTATATTCAAATCATTGGGCAAGAGAATCTATCCATCAGTCTTTTGGGAACCTTTAAAAAGGTGATCACCCAATGGTAAGATAGATATGTAGATGATGTTTAGATCTGAACATGATGAACAATTGGTAAAACCTAGCTTGGTAAGATGATTAAAAAAATAAAATGATTACCAGCATCAATTACAACAGACACATGTATGTACATACAGTACATGTATGAATTAAAAAAACATATTACATGTAAACATGCACAGTATAACACATAATGGGCTAATACATATTATTGGAAATGCCCTAATTGTACACATGTAGGTCAGCTTTCTTTGGTTTTGGTATTAAAATAGCAAGATAAATACAAATCTTTCAAACTTTCTTCTTATTCTTTAAGAGTGGAACAATAATCAAGACAGGTGCAAAACAAATAACAATTTTGACCTTGTGGCCACCATCCAGAAAGACCTTTTTAAAACTATTTTTCTGCATACTTCTTGAAGAAAGGTTTCCCTTGACAACTCAAAAGCTTGCCAGAGGCTTGCCTGACATAGGAACATTTGATGCATACAAAGCGGATTCCATCTATAGAGATGCCATCATGTAAAGCACGTGAATTCAATTTAGTAATCAGGAATTCCGGAGAGAGATATGCATAAAAGAAATTTATGAAAAAGTGGTTACTTTTTGCAAAGTGTTTCTGATTGTTAATTTTTTCTAAATTATTTTGCCAAGTAAATCTGTGATATTTAAAAAACTGAACTGCAATTTCTAACAGATATCTATAAATGTATGTTCTTATCATATTTTGAATGGCCAAGAATATCATTTTGAAATTCTGCATGTATATATCTATTCCTATATGTGGACGATATTATTTAATAAATGAACCTTGTGGAAGGGGGAAAAATAAAAAATAGAAAATAAAGAATTTAATAAATTAAATACAACACACTCTTGAAGAAAGACGTATATAACCATGTTATATCTTCTGTTGAACTTGAGAGCCATAAAGACATTAACTCACATTAGCCACATACATCTTAAAGGACTGAATGCCTGTCTGACTCTCAGCTTATGATAGTTTCAGTAGCAAATCGCAGTAACTGTTTTTGTAACTGTGAATGTCCCAACTTTTGCAAAGAAAGTTTGAACTGCTTCATATCTTACGTTATGCTACTTTTCAATTTTTGGCACTATTAAGAGCTTATACCCTGCTTTTATACGATGACACAGAGTTTGGTCTGACGACGTAGGCTCTTTGCTATATTTCATCAAAGATATAAGATTAGGATTAAAGGCATTGTTTAACAATGTTTCCAGTATTACAAATCTGAGATGCATGGCCGTGTTATCAGTGTCTGTGATATGGTGTAATATTGAAGCCCTAAAAAAGATTGAGCTTCAAAATGATCATGAAGTGCTTTAAAAAATTAAAATCTTAGAGTGACCAGTTTTACCATACTCATTTTCCCCATTAGACTGTAGTGTTATATAAAAACGTTGGGAAAACAGTTTTAAAATTTCGAATTCCAATCATAAATATATTGATAATCAAACATGCGATTGTCTTGTAAAAGTCATTGGATTAATTATTGACCTAAAGCTTTATAATTATGATTGCAGCATGAGCTAAATCCATGGTTTTGAATCAGAGGTAAAGTTACCTAATACCTTTAAGGTTGCAATTCAGTCTTCAAACTTATACCTCCATCTAAATTCCCTTGTTAAACTGGACTGGAGGTCATGCTAAAACCCACCACTGGGTTTAAATGAGTAACACACAGACCATAGTGTCCGAAAGCACTTTCTTGAAGAGATAAAATGCATAGATCTGCCTTGATAGCTGTCAAATAGCACACTATGTATTACCATGCAGGCCAGGCCAGGCCATACAGCATGGATCAAAGAGTCTGTTCAGAGCCAGGAGAGCATTAACTCTGTGTTTAATTTTATGACTTAAAGCCCCACTGCACTAGTTTAGCCAGGAGGGATTAGACCTCCCTGCATGGTCACTGACAAGTGGTTATCGCATCAAATCAGGTCTCAATTAACAAAAGATAAAGGGGATCATGGGGGACCAATGGTCACAGATTAGGCATTGTTTGCTAGATAGAGGGCGCAAGTAGCTATAAGAAGAGCAGTGGGGCTTTAATGCCCTTCTGGCTCCAAACAGATCACTTCTTTAATACTACCGGTAACAATAACACAGCTTTTCTTGACTGTTCCTGACATAAGGCATTGAAACCCTGTGGTAAGTGAGGCTCTGCAGTCCGTTGCTGTGTAAAATGCCATCATCATCATAGCTGCATAATGTGTGTTATGTGGCCCTGGAAATGAGAGAAGAAAAAACACAATACCTCAAAATTCATTTCGATGTGAAACTGAAACACGTAATTCATTGTTATAATAAATTTCCTACTAAAATAAATCTCAAGAATTAATCTTGTGAAGAAGCACAAACAGAAAATATCAATTAATCAAGACACATGTGACGAGATGAAAACAAAAAGATGTAGAATAAAGAAAATGAAAAACACTTGGAAGATAAAACAGGGAGATAAACAATACATGGAAGGTAGAGAAGAGAGAGAGAGAGAGAGAGAGAGAGAGAGAGAGAAAGAGAGAGAGAGGAGAGTGTGAGAGAGAGAGAGAGACTGTTACTACAATATATATGAAAATGAATAACATGTATTACTCACAACATAAAAACTGTCAAAACATTTCCAACAAATATTTCAGTTTAAAAGTGATTAACACAAACATAACAGGCGACACCACTCTCCAACTAATGTCAGAAAAATACCCAACAGAACAATCTCTCTGAATACATGTATTAACAAAGAATGGAATGGATAGGTTAATAAACATTTAAAAAAGAGGTTTAAACATGAAGGTAACTAAATTGAACCTATGAAGTATGCTTTTACCTAGTCAGCACTAAATCACCATCTAATCAGATCTAAAAATGCACAAAACAAAACAGGGCCAGTTGAATAACATTTTTTTACAATGGAGAACAAAACAATATCTTCATGAAAATATATCTCATCGATATTTGACCATTTACAGTGTACTCTATGGTTTAAAAAAAAACTGTTCTTCTCTCAAAGGAGATAAAGGATTATATCGGGTTTGAAATTCATTCCTCTAATAGATGGCTCTTGAGATATTGACATATATATATATATATATATATATATATATAAATATATATACATGTATATATATATATATATAGAGAGAGAGAGAGAGAGAGAGAGAGAGAGAGAGAGAGCAAGAAGCAGGAGGGAGAGACAACTTGAAAACACACCAAAAGACTCCAATTGCGAATAATTCATCTCTGCGGAACCATTATCATTAATTTTTTTTTAAATCAACTGACAGTCTGACACCCATCCCATCCAAATAACCTTTCAAAAGCTTACATTAGAATAATTAGAATAATTAAATGAATCATGATACAGGGCTAGACACTGGCAAGGGCCCCATTCAACATGGGCCCCAAAATGACTTGAGGAACCTCAATGTACAGAGAAAGAGTGTGGACTTCCTGCTTAATCCTTTTTTTCTTCTGAATTCTTAATAATAATTATAACATACCATTATATCGTTTAACACATTACATAAGCAAATTGTCCCTACGCGCTAGTATCAGGTTACTTTTTGTTACTTTCAGATACTTACCGGTTCCCCTGCACTGCATCTGACACATACTCTTCTCTCCTTGGGCTGTAAAGAGAACAAACACAAATGAAATAGGTTACTATGCTTTCAGAGATACAGTTGAAAATTTAATTATTCTGTAAATTTCATCTTTTTTGTGGTTTTCATAACTCAACAATGAAAGGTATATTGGTTGAATTAAGGCCTTTGTTAAATACTTTTAGATGTAATAACTCCAATACCTTGTACTCCCCCCCCCCCCCCCCCCCCTTTCCCCTCCCCCCAATCATAGGAAACCTTGGAACTTTAATATTCTTATATGTTAGTTTTATACTGTTTTACCTTTGCTTGTGAGCTTTGATGATATTCATTATTTTTATGTCTGTGCATTACATTTTTATTTTGTTCAGGACCGTGATGTAAAACAGATTTTGTATCTACAATGTATATCTGATTCTTGTTATCCTGATTAAATATATTTCAATAAAAAATATAAAAAACTCACTTCAATGCATGAAGAGGGTCCATCGATAGCGTACTCTGCCTGCACAGTAAGCCCTGTATCCATAGAATCCTCCTCAACATCGCCTCCTGCATGCTCGTAATTTGCTATGTAACCATAGTAACCATTGGATATCACTGGTGTAGCACTAGCAGGCTCACCACCTCCGTTCAAATCAACCTGCTGCCCTCCTTGCTGATGGTGGAAATTGTTGTCGTGATGATTGTGTTCGGAACCATTAGCATGTCCATTTGATGTGATTGCACCGTGCAGTTGTTCCATGGAAAAATCCATATGGGCGTCAGGAAGAGCTGTCTGCATATCGGTATACATGTATGAAAGACATGGCTGATCCTGATGCTTTTGATGGTGATACCCATTAGAGACAATGTCTGGTACCCTGTTCCATTCCGCAAATGGTGTAGGTTCCAAGCATCGTCGTTTCTAAATGGAAGGATGGAAAAATAATAAATATCTCTGATGTACTAAATTCTAAAACATGCCAAAAATCAACAAAATTTCATCAATTGTTCAAATAATGATATGATTTAAAATTTGTTGTTTTTTACCTGTTTCGTGTCAATTATCTTATCTCTTTTAATTAGAGTATTTTTCCTAAAAACGAAGACATTAAAATATACACTTTCTCACAGGTTTCATGCACAGGAAACACTGTGCACGAGCTATGAACTCGTAATGACATGCACAGTTTGAGTTTTTCCTTTATAATCATTTTGCCTTCGGCGTAGACTAGAAGGGATGAGATTTAGATGACGTCATATGCAACCCGGCTGCAAGATTTTCTTCATGGATGTCGATCTTGACCCATAATTTCCTAAAAAGGGACCATTAAATGGATTCAAGTAGTCAAGTTGGTAAGTGGAACCGAAGGAGTTAAGCATGTAGCTAATTTTGGACTATAAATGCATCAGATACACATCCGGTAAAATTAAAAAAATCAGGGATTAAGTTTGGCCAAGTTTTGTGTAACGTTTCTTTACACAAACGCGTGAACACTAAAGCGTATAGGGCTGTTCTGTCTCTAAAGAGAGAGCCGACCTTACCCAAATCAGAGGCTAACGAACGAAAGAGACAGAGAAATTTGGTCTAACAAGTTACACAAATGAACAAGTCCTCATTGCAATTTCGATTTTCGTTTTCAACTTTATGATAATAATTACGGACTTACAGCTTCAGCAATGAAGACGGGAACATCTTTTCCATTACTGTTGAAATCACTTGAATTGCCGTTGTGGTAGCCAAGATCGGCGAATTCCTGGCAGTCTCCACGCCGCTTTCCCCGGTGAAGTTGGGGGTTATGCATGGCCATGGCCCGAGAGAGAATCCAGCCAGGTGCTCGATTTAAAAGCGATCCGGATCCCGGTAGAAATTAATTGATGAGCTGCAGACAACAACAAAGCTCTCAAAACACGACGATAGTGTCAATCAAACAAATAACAGGTTACCCAAATCATGACAAATTTCAAACACGATATCAAGGTAGGTATGAGTAATTAATTTGATGATAATGAATCTACCATGCCAGGATCAGGAAGCATTCGATTTGAATTTCTAACAAAGTAAGCGGCATGTTGATAAACAAATAAATGAAGATAACGAACATAAAGCGAAAATCAATCATTGCCAATCTAGAGAGTATTCAAAATCAGTGAAAAAACAGTGAAATAATCACATTAGTGATTAGATTATTTTTCTTTCTCATGTATGTAAGTCGCTCAATACCGAAGTTTTAAAAAATAGGTCTATTTATAGTTTCATATTGTAAATCAAAAATCTTTATAACAGTCATGTTCGCATCAAGAACTCACAAATTGCTAAATTTACCGTTGCAACAGTTATAATTACATTTTTGTGCATTCCCACAAGCATTCCAAGCGAATATCTGGTTTTACTTTATATTTTAGATCCATAATTTTAATATATTTATACAAAAAAAGCTGAAAACTACATTTTTCAAATCAATTACTATGAATATACCAAAGTTAATACAGAGTTTTGGTATGGGGTCATGAATTTGGTTCAAATGAATATATTGGAAGCATATGCGGTACAACATTCATTGATCGTTGTCGCGGTTGAAATCTAGTCTAAAGTTATGAAATTGTAAATAATAAACTCTTTATGTTGTATAGCTCCCTCTCAAGGTCAAGATATTAATTTAGCTATAAAACAATGTTTCTTGACTAAAATTAACGGATTAGCTATTCCCGTTTGGAAATTATATATCACAACTACATATTCTAAAATTTTCATGGTCGCAGCTACCACTGTACGGCCGTAGGCGCTATTTGAAATTTATCAAAATTTACCGGGAGCACCGGTAAATTTTAATATTCAATTTTTCTCGAAAGCAGAAGTGTTTTTAGGACCTAAATTTTCTAGTGCTTATAATGCATCCATAGGGGCATCCAAATATATTAAAATTGTAATCATGTAATACATCTAGCATTGAAGTCACTACCTTAGCACCACTTCTCATCTGAACAATGTTACCAAATCCCTTTAAGGCAAAAAAATGAGAAACTTCAGCCATAAGAGGGAGGGGAAAAAAGGGGGGAAAAGATTTTTGAACGACGAACCCATGTTTTGGCACCCGTATATACAACATCTAGGCCTAATTGGAATTTTAGAAGCCTGGAATGAAACTTCTGATATTATTTTTTAAATTCCCCTATAGGGCTTGCCCTCATGCACTGTACAGAAAAGTTTATACTATTTAGTTCGATTATTCACATAATATTTTAGACAATTTATTTCCATGAATATCTGTGCATCCCCTATAAACCAAGGAGTTATGATTTAAATCCGAGTCCTTGCCCTCATAATGTGTTTCCCCAGTCTTATGGCTCAATATTATATCGCCACATGCACGATGATAATGTCTTTGAAAGCACCCCCCCCCCCCCCCCCCTCCCTACCTCCTCCCCAAGCATTTTGAAATTTAGGGTTCATTGTATCAACCATGACCATAATGCACTTGATGCTGGTTGTGTATAAATAGATGGAAGGGAATCTGGGTCATTCACCACAATAATTAACCGACAAGCATACTACACCAAAATATCATCAATCATTGTCCCAAGACTACTCGTCAAATTGACAACAAATTGTACAGACTTCCTTTGGAAATAGGCGGTTTCTTCAGAATTTTGGCGTTGTCAATTTAATGATTACACACAATTTTAACGGTCGATTGAAATTTCTTCCTACTTATTTAATAACACAAAACTGAATCTGTAGATCATCATTCTTATTCAAAATTATTTTCTTCTATTTCTCCTCTTCATTTGCTTTATTTCTTTCTGTCTATTTTCGTGTCGTTAGACCTGTAGCCTTATAATATATTGTGCCTGTATATTTTTTCATCTTCCCTCAGCATGTGCTCAGACTCTAGAAAAGAGCTATTAGGCCTATTATTTGGGAATTTTGGGAACTGTCTGTAAAATAAATTTGTATCTATTAAGTAAAATTAATCATTTCGATGACAAAAAATTACTTAAAGTTGCATTTGTCTTCATGTTAGGCAGTAATTTCCGTTATACAGTAACAATAACTTTTTTAAACCAAAGGAGTAAAGGGACTGTACATTGTATAGTGACAAGAATGAAACTGAGAGGGCGTTCAAAACGCTGTTCAAAATGTTTATTTCTTGGTTTCTAGCAAACGATCACAATTTATTGAACCATTTTCATTTCAGCTACAGTCTAAGAAATCTCAAAAATTTGATACGGCCGCAGATCGTTATTGTTTGTTACAACCATCATAAGATTTTTTTCTGTCACTTGCAAAAGAATACCATTTCCATTTCATCCTACAAGTCTATGTTTTAGTATCGGTGGGCCTTCTGTTTTCCCCATAATGTTCAATAGACAGAAATTGTCGGTCTCTTGGGCTTTTGGTCCCGCTTCATGCCCAGTTTAAGATCATGGTCGACCTTTAAAATAAAGTTCTAACTAATTCAGAACAAAAACAAAAATAACTGGAAAAAAAGATAGAGGTGTCTCGTTGTCGAGTGGATGAAATGGGTACCTGCATGGCAGGAATTAATTCCTTGAAAATAATTATGCTAGAGCGCCGTAATGGCAGCCGTGTTAAAGCGAGGGTAATGATTTTTTGAGCGCCATGAAGTGTCAAGTCTGACAGACATGAGCGCTTTACAAGAACCCTACCGGGTATATTATTATTAAAAGGGAAGGGAATTAGAATTCGAACGAAGGATTAGGCAAAAACAATAGGCCCTACCTTAATGGCGCATCTTTTCCAAACAGTTGCAGACTAATCTTAGTCGCAATAATATGGAACTGATAATTGAAGTACCGAGGCGTTGAGGTAAAGGGTTTGCATTGTATTTTCAGACGACGAACTTTGTTTGGAATAGTTCGAGATGGGCTCTTCAAACATTTGAAGCACTCCCTTCTTGAGTTTATCACTCAAGTATCTCGAAGTATCTTCCCCCGTATGGCACTTTTAGCCCCTTTGAAGCTGGTATTCACGAGATGACAAGCACCCCCCCCCCCTCTTTTCCTTTTTTCCCTTTCTTTTCCTCTTTATGAGATCACTTGGAAGAAAGATGGATTGAATGATTGTCAGGTTCAAGTCTTGGCTCCTAAGAGTGATGTCTTCTTGAGATACGTCCATCCATCAATTTATAATCAAGAGCTGACCTCCTGAGGAGACTGTTTAGAACGCATGACTTTTTCATTTTACTGTTTATTGTCAGCTCCACAGATACAGAGAAGCCTGCAAAGGTCTTTGTTTACTTCATTATTTCAATTGTTTCAGTCATATTTTCACCTGCCTATACTGGCATTGCTATTTTTGTATACAAACAAACAAATGCAGTGAAGCAAACTGTTGCCAACAGTAAACATTTTTCTTTTCTTTTCATTTTCTCTTCTTTTCTTTTCTTTTTTTGTTCCTTTTTGTTTATATTGTTTCTTTCTTTGGGTTTCCTTATTTTTCCCCCTTTTCTTACCTTTTGAGGGTAGCCCCCACCTGTTTTTTTTTTTCTTTTCGGTTTCTCTTCTTTTCTTTTCTTTGTTGTTCCTTTATGGTTTCCTTTCTTCTTTTCCATTTTTTTTAAATATTTGTTATTCTTTATTTTTTTCTTTCCCTTCATTTTTTTTCTTTTCTTTTCTCTTCCTTTCATTTCTTTATTCTCTCGTTCTATCGCGTTTCTTTTTTTGAGGGGTAGCCCCTTTCAATTTTCTCCCGGCAGGCCAGGGGCATATTATTCTCCTATGTGACTTTGCATCAGGCCTCACTATTAAAATAAATCATCCCGACCAAAGTCACGGTTTTACAAAACAGTTGCAATTCTATGATATGAATTTCATCAACAATATTTTTTTAATTACATGCGCACACTCTCGTTCGAATGAAACGAATTCTCTAAGTTAACTTCATTATAGTTCTCCTTCAGATTCCTGAATAGCAACATAATTACAGGAGATCGATGGATTATGGAAGACACCATACAACTGAAGGATTTCGACTTCTATTCATCGCTCTAGGTACATGTACTCTAAATCTGTCAAACAACATTGTGTCACATAGGTGATTTGATGATGATGTATTCACCGTTATGTTCGACCTGTCGATCTTTGTTAATCCGTGGATTTTAAGCCGGGAAGATCTGAGATCAATAACGCATCTTCATTTGCCTGGAGGATGTTGGCCTAGTCTACACTAGGCCAACATCCTTCATTATCCCATCTAAAGTAAGTTAATGATTATAAGAATAACAAATCATGTAATATTCGATACCAAAATCAACACTATGTTCACTTCATCATAGATGTGTTTTATGAGTTGCCTAGACATCATTTTAAGAGTGACGAATCAATCACGCTTATATAGCTAGACAAATATATTGACTTATCGCGTCAACTACAATGTATAACAGATCGTAAAGACTTTCGAGAAATCAACTCAAGGATACTGTATTTAAATACCCTACATCCCATACCCTACATCCCATAGAAACCATGTTCAGATTGTGTCATTGAAATGTTCGTGTATTTCAATAGATGATGGCCAGGGCTTTTGGAATTGCCTTAGATTGATTATTCAAAAGATTTTTCGATCATGTCATGTAGGACTATATAGTACGGCCTAACTATATAATTAAGTGAGGGTAAACAGCAAAGCAGTGAGAAATGAGTAAATGTTCCACATGCGATTCAGGAATAGAGTCATGCATCTATACACATAGTTTGGCCAACCTGGTCCGAGTTGGACCCAATATGGCGACTCCTGCTTTATGGGCAAGCAAAAAACAAAAGAACATACGCCATGTTGTTGTGACCCAGTGAAACCGAGTTGGCCAAACTCTGTGTTTAGATAGCTCTGGTCAGGAGGAGCTTGTGCGCCCTCTCTCGTTCAACTTTCTCGTTTGATTGACAGGTCCGCAGTGTGACTCTGAGCCAATCCCATTGAAGATGTTCAATAGGCAGTACTTAGAGGCAATCTAGACACAAGAGCCTACTCGTAATCTTCACTTACCAAGACAATGGTGAAGTTGTGAGAAACCTCGACTTATCTCAAACAAAACCCCTTCGTTAAGAGGAG